CATCACCTTCAGGCTGGAGCACAAAACAGAGCCCTATATCCAAACATGATGTTTGCTGGGTACTGAGTGCTAAACATAAATGCACATGTATGCATACCACAGCCCCAAACCGCTCCTTCTGCCTCTTCACCTCTTAGATCCCCTTCTCAACTCCTCTTTTTGTCACCTAAATTAAAAAGTCTTCTGTGCTGCCTGACAGCTCCTTTGCTCCCTGATCCAGCATCTCTGCAGGAATGTTCATTTGCTGCTTCGCCTCTTGTCCTCTCTGAGCAGACCCAGACCCAGTTCCTGAGCCCTCGTGCCTGGCACAGGGGCACTGGGGGTACATGAGGAGCTCGCACCGCTCCTCTTTATCTAGTGAGGATGTATTGAGCTGTAGCCGTCTCAGAAACTGCACTGCCCACCTTGCCTACACTCGTGGCTGCCTGGTTGGGTCAAAATCCCACCAAACACACAGACCAGACTTCTGCTGCATCCTCTTCCCCTGCAGTACTGAATGGTTTTGGTCTGAATTTTGCAGGGCATGGTGTCTGATAGCTACAGATTATAAAAGAGAAAGCCTGTGAGTAGCCTTAAAATTATGGGGTTTTCCTCCATCATCAGAAATTTCAAGCCCAACTGGAAGAAGCCATGAGCATCCTGGTCTGATCTCATGGCTGACCCTGCTTTGAGCAGGAAGTTGGGCTAGAGACGTCCCAAGGACACCTCCAGCCTGAATTATCCTATGAGCCTGTCATCTTATGAACCAAGGAATTGCAGTGCTCCCAAATGACAGCAAAGTTCTGTCCAAGAGACAGCATCCTTTCTGCTGTTCCTAGTTTCTTCCCCTTCATAGTGGGACAGCACTGTTAACATGAGCAGGAGGGTCACCTGGCTTACATGGGCAGGTCTTCTCACCCCCCAAAAAATCCTGTTACACCCTCAGGTACTTATGGTAGCCATCTGTTAAAGAAAGCTAACAGCAGACTAACAGCAAGGCAGGCTTGGCTTTCTGAGCAGCGAAATCTTCACTGTTTATTTCTGTGATATTTGGGGAAACAGGGCTCTGTGTACATCCACTGAAAAAAACATGCCCATGCCAAAGCAACTCTGGACTCCTTCAGCCAGTTTTTCTCCTTACATAAACAGTTTATCAAATCCAGTGATCAGATAACTGCTTGGGCCAGTAAGCAGCAATAATAACAGTCTGGTTTACTCCACTTCTACCTCATCTGGATCTCTGTTTTCTTATTTTTTTCCCT